GCGCTCGGCTCCGCGCACGCGCAGTCGCCGCTGCCGCAGCCGCGGGGGACGACCCGAGCGGGGCGGGGCCGCGGCCCACGTGACCCTGGGAGCCCGGCTGTGCGGCTTCGGTCACGTGCCATCGCGGGCAGAGGCGGCCCCGGAACGTGTGCTAGCACCACCGGCTCTTCCTGCCTTCAAGCTCTTGAAAAGGTGATTTACGAACCTTTATCACCGTCGTTTGCAGTTAAGGAACCCGGGGATGAAATATTCCTGAAATAACACGATTTATTATTAAATTACTAAAGCAATAGTTATTTGTTGTTGTGTACCGCCAAGTAGAAACTGATCCATGGCTTTTCAGAGACAGCGAAATCCCACGGGAGGAATTGCCCATCTTTCTTTGGCAGAACAGCTGGTGGATTAGAACTGGGTAGGTGCGACCTGAGTGCTCTTGAGAGGCAAGGGTGGCAAAAGTTTCCTCTTCCATACTTGGGACGTGTAGCTAGGAGAGACTATTCCTTGGAAAGGAATATCATGCTTGGAAGGGTGTAGCGTCAGCAGAAGAAAGAAAGATCCCCAGGGAGATGCATAGACTCGGTGACTACAGCAATGAACTCAAGTGTACCAGAGATGGTGAGGAATGCACAGGATAGGCCAGGATTCAAGTCTGTTTGTTCATAGGGTCACTTTGAGTCTTACTCAACTGACAGACAGCTCTTAACAACCACCACTTTTGCTCTAGCAGCTCAATTCCTTACCACCAAGCCACCAGAGTAATGGCATAATGGTATGCCAGTAATAACACTACTAGTGTTGTTGCCAATAATTACTGAACACTTACTCGGTGCCAAGTACATAACAAATATTACCTCATTGAAGGCTCACATCACATCTTCATATGATAGCTAGGAGGCAGACATTCCATTTTGCAGACAAAAGGAACAAGTTATGAGAGATACTAGCCCAACAAGTATATCTCCAAGACTGTTCATGGTTCACTCTCGAAATCTGCTGATTTAGAGATCCGTGTTTTCACTCAGTGTTATTCTCTTTCCATCAAGGCCTCCTCCCAACTTTCTGGGCCTATTTGCCTATGACTCACTCCATTTACCCAGACCTTCCTAGGTAACCCTAACCCTGGAACCCCCGGTTGGACAGGTTGGCCAATACAGCAACTTGTAGGTAGATTGTTCTCAATTAGCACCGAGGCAAGAGACTTTTCTTGTAGTTTCATATTCTCGGAGATAAACACTGGACTGGGCATCAAGGCACTTAGTCTGCTGATTTGCTTTTGATTATTGATCAGTCCTAGAGCCCTGCTAGTGCAAAGGTTGAACACTGGGGTGCTAATCAGAAATTCAAACCTACCAGCTTATCTCTGGGACAAAGTGTGGCAGTTGGCTTCAGCAAAGATTTACAATCTTGGAAGCCACATAGTACAGTTCTGTAGGGTGGTTAGGAGTTAAAATCAAATCATGATAAAACTGACCAGGATATTTATTTATTCAGCACCTACTATGACAGGTATCAATAACCAAGTTCAGCTCACTGCCATAGAATGAATTCTGACTCAAAGAGACCTTCAATCTGTTTCTCAGGCTGAGGAGTTTGAACTGCATACTTTTCAGTTAAGAGCATATAACATGTAAGGCACTGTGCCAGCCGAGCTCCTTATGTTGAATATAAACAGTACAAAATAGTGAATATAAATAGGAAACACAATAAGGTCCCAATAGAAAATGGGTATGATGATTGATATTAACTCAAAATAAAGGCCTACATAACAGCACGAAAGCATGTTGCGATTGGCAAGCTATTTCTTTCTAAATAAAAACAATTTTTTTCCTAAAAA